TCTGTCTGTCTGTCTGTCTGTCTGTCTGTCTGTCTGTCTGTCTGTCTGTCTGTCTGTCTGTCTGTCTGTCTGTCTCTCTTATTTATTATTGTTTTACAATCCTTGTTATCAATTGTATCGTTATTTCTCTTCTTTATTCTTTGTCAAAGATTCATTGATTTGATCAAGTATTCATTCATTTGATTTTACTTGTTTATCATTATTTGCTTCATTCTATAGTAATTTATTGAATTCCCTTCTTGTGGTTTCTGGGAAAATAGACATGTAAGGTGACTTTTTTGTTTGTGAATCTATGCATACATATAGTGAAATTGTCTTTATAGTAGAATAAGCATAATTCCAAATCCAAACGCAATTTCATAATTTCAGGTTTTATCAGATTATAGTGGATGATGACCTTTCATATCCTTTCTGTTAGCTTTGTGATTTGAATGGGTCGGATAATTCGCGGTGGCTTTTTCTACATCAAAATCAAACGAGTCTGTCATGCGAAAACTAAGAGTACCGTTACAATGGTCCAGTTACTGATGCAGCGACTTTGTTGTCGTTGAATTTACTGTTCCAACATTATTTCAAGATAGATGTAATTTTTTCCGTAGTTCTGTCTGTTTGCAAATATATCAATTTGTCATTGCAAAATTATTCATATAGTGCTACAATAATGTTTCGATACTTCTGCGACGGTACTGTTTGTTGTTGCAAAACATTATACATCGTTAATGCCGCATTTGTTACGATAATTTGTATAGTCATTATGTACAATTATGTTATTCTGCCTTTGCTACGCAACGCTATCGTTGGAATAATATAGTTTTATTAATATTTCTGCCTTTTAGTCACAAGGCGAAACTAATGTTATGACGATAAAATCAACGTGGCAACAACAAACATATTGTCACACTGGTAATTGAATATCGTTGTAATTGTATAGGGCGGGATACAACTGAACGAAACGAGCCCAATATTCCAAAAAATTCTGCAACACTAAACTGTATCCTTTGCAGTAGTAAAAAATACCGCTGTATTCATTCAAATTACAGCTGCCATATGACATCCCCCTCTCTCTCCCTATATATATATATATATATATATATATATATATATATATATATATATATATATATATATATATATATATATATACCTTACCTGGTTGATCGGTGCTCCGTTTATCTGAGAAAACTCCCTATCCGGGCATAGTTCTACAGGAACAGAATTCCTAAACGTTAATTTGCTCCTCTAATCCAGTAATCCGCATTCCAGATCCAAACGTCAAATTCGGGGAACAAAATGTAAAACTGTTATAAACTGCACTCAACAATCAGGAAATAATCTGTCAAAAACAAACAAAATTTGAGGAATCGTATAGGCAAATACAGTCAGTCCAAGAACACCGATTTACTTACGTCAATTTTGAAGTGTGAGAGTTTATCAATATCTGATAGGTCAAATTATATTGGCACATAAAAGTTAAAATTTGAGCACGTGTTTGAACGTCAATTAGCGAGAACAACATTGTAACCAATGACTGTGTAAACAATGAACGTGTTTGCTGCTCGTTGATGGGTGTTTCTTTTTTTCTTTTTTTTAATTATAAATAAACACACTGGAATCAAATTGTCTACACCTTTGACATAATGTAGTCCAGTCTGTTTGTTGTTTACAGATTGTATGCAATGTAACAATCCTAGTTTTTGATAGTTGTATACAAATAAAGTGATCGATTAAAACTGCTCTCATTACATGACTTTATTTTTTAAAATGCTGATGTCAGTTATCGGATCTTTAACAGCTGTAACAATTGTAAAATGTTACTAATAAAAATGACTGTATTTTATTAGTTTGCATTTAGTTCTTGAGAATCTAAGCACGTCATCAAGAATCATTGCAAAGAGATCCGCCGAAAAAATCCAGGCAAAGGTTGTAAAAGTGTTCAATAAGTTTACATAAATTTTACATAGATTGTTTGATATGTTTTCGATGTGTTCCTTGTTAAGTATATGTTTACGTGCTCGTACAAGTGCACGTTAGCAAATAAATATACCGGTATTGTACAAGTATTCGGTACGATATCGAAGATAAAAAATGAGTATGATTCAATTATCAGGAGAACTTATTGATCCAGACATGTTCGCTGACAAAATATGTCCGGGTTAATATATATATATATATATATATATATATATATATATATATATATATATATATATATATATATATATATATATATATATATATATATATATATATATATAAGCTCTACAATGTGTTCAAGCGAGCGATATGATCTGATAAGGAATTAACCCATGAGACTAAATTATTATGTGGCTCCCTCCACCTATTGGTAATATAACTAACTGTGATGTTTCATTTGGAACGTGAAATAAAAAAGGTAACCAAAACATGACCAATTTGTGCGTGTCATATCTATGTAATGTGATGTCAAAGGTCTTACAATACTTACAATGTTCTCAAGTCAGATATATGGCTTCACAGAAACTTTAAAAAAGTGATGATTATTGAGAGTCTACGAGACAACTAAATTATTGAATTTTTGTCTCAACTTATGATCTTTGTTTCGTTCTTGTTTCAGCCCAATCAACTGGTAGACAAGGATCCACTGTTCGAGACAATAAAGGAATCAAATTGGGTGCCAAGGACAAGAAGAAAGGGAAATGTTGTTAGCCCTGTCTCCAGTGATGGGGAAAAGACAATAACTTTATCATGACAAATGTATAACTGAATGTATTTTTGTATGAAGTATCTTAAATGTGTTTATTTTACATCCCCATTTACAACACTGATGAACATGGAAAACAAAAGAGGAAAACATCTTCTTCAAAAACAACAATCGTAGTTTGTTAAATTAATTTTTACTAATAATGTACAAAAAGCTGCATTTGACTTTAGAAATTATCAAAAAAGCTAAACAAAGAAACAGTGCATAACGACAGTTAACTCTGTTTATGGGTTTGTTAACTTAGAGGAACTGAATATATGGCATATTTGTGACAAAATACGATCACAGAGATGAAAAAGTATTTGCTATAGCTCAGCAGGGATTGCGGAGACCTACATTTTCTATTGTAAATTAATATTTCCTTTCTTTTAAGAAAGTATAATACTTCATCAGGTAAAAAGTGAGGAAAAAGAACTGATTATTTAAAACTTTGCCGTCATAACTATACTGCATATAAAACATAAGAAAACACAACTTTGACTTTTAATACTTTGTGTACCAAAAGAAGTTTCCCAAACTTGTCTGTACATAAAACTTAGTAATTCCATTAGCATATGAAATAACGATTTATTTAATATCACCAATTAAATTGCTCATTTTTTGTCATGTCTTTTATTTCCAAAGTTGGTATGTTTTCTTTATCAATCTTAGTAACCATATTGTTATACCTAAAACATGGACGGAAGAAAGAAACAGGATAAAACATTAAAATTGATCAAGTTCTTAGATCTTTTGTGCTTTCGTTTGATACATGGCAGCATTGAATTGCAATGTCAGTTTGAAAAAGTTATATATATATATATATATATATATATATATATATATATATATATATATATATATATATATATATATATATATATATATGTATATATATATATATATATATATATATATATTTATATATATATATAAAGATATATATAGATATATATATATATATATATATATATATATATATATATATATATATATATATATATATGTATATATATATATATATATATATATATATATATATATATATATATATATATATATATATATATATATGTATGTATGTGTGTGTGTGTGTGTGTGTGTGTGTGTGTGTGTAATGCAACGGTGTACTTAGTTTCCTAAATTGTACTGCTGTTCCAGAACTTTGTCTAGGGAATTAAAACAGACTTAAAAGAGTTACACAAGAGCAAATCAATGATTTTTCTCGGCCTTTGTCTCATGTATTGTTTTTGTTGTCATATATATATATATATATATATATATATATATATATATATATATGTGTGTGTGTGTGTGTGTGTGTGTGTTTGTGTGTGTGCGTTTGTGTGTTTAACGAGTCTTAATAATTATATTGATACCCACGCTATGTGATGAAATAATTAGATCGGAATGTTCAAACAGCTTGATTTACCCGATATTATTCTCTTTCAAAAGAGAATACAACTAAAATAATTTTAGCCATAAGGAAGGAATAACGAAACAGGCATTAGCTGATGTCAGAGTTCAAAATGTTCACTTTTGGGAAGATCATTGCTTTATTTTTTTTTTACATATATGATTTGTATTTCAAATGGATTGGAAGATTCATATCCACTGCTCTTTGAAATAGGAAGGACGCTTGCAACTTCTTTAAATAAGCATACTATGTAACCGACCTTCTCCATTGTCAGGCTGAATAATTTGGTCCCAATTTGGTTTTTCTGATTCTGTCAAACCTCTTCATTCTGAACTTGACCATTTATATAAAATTATCACATTATATATTCATGATTTTGAATGTTTCATTATATTCGTCACATCCTGTTCAAGTATTCGATGTAGTATTTGAGTGAGATGTCAACAGCATTGGAAAGGAAACAGAACGGACGCTATGTAAGAAAATCACTTTTATCTGAGCTATTTAATTGACCATTGTTAGATAAAATTAAAACTTCATACTTGGAATTTTAAATGTGTATAGATTAATTCACCTTTGCACTGATAATTTGAGCACCGAATATTTAAGAAGAGTTACATAGATGTGATGTGATTATGCTTTTTATCGTAGCTTTAACAGTTGTTCTGTTATATCGATAAGATGTCTGCAACATGGCAGTTTATAGTGATGCTTAGCACTGGGGCTTTATACCGCAGACATGTAGCATGATGTCCCATCAAGTCACATTATCCTGATATCAGTCTGACCAGTCTTAACTCTAACCACTTAATGCTGAGCATCAAACGAGACAGGTGTTAGTACTATTTTTGTAAGTCTTTGGTATGACTTGACTTGGGGTCGAACCAACGACCTCCCGTCATCCAATGGCGGACGCTCTAACCACTCGGCCATCGGAACAGTTGTGGTTACATAGAACTGTAAACGAAATTTAGGACATGACTAAAGACAGATATATATATATATATATATATATATATATATATATATATATATATATATATATATATATATATATATATATATATATATATATATATATATATAGAGTGAGAGAGAGAGAGAGATTTCTACTTAGTTAGAAAACGCTGTCATATAATGTATTACATTTTGCAAGGGTTGTCGGCATTTTGCAAAGCATTGAGACCAAATACGTTGATTACTTATTAAGTGTTTCATAAGCATCTATTTTTCAAAGAGCAGAATTTTAAATAAAACGATTTTCGAGAATACCTTGTACGTCCTCTTTAACCCGAAAGTGTGATAATGTGCGACTGTTTCAGTGGCATTTATTAGTTTCTTTTCCTCATTGTCTTCTTGTTCTTATTATCTTTGCCTAAAGCAGCATCAGTAATAAGAATATCAGTGTAACATCTGTTCCTAAAATGTTGATAACTTTCTTAAACAATATTTATATATTAAGAGATCACTGCTATAGAAAATGTTTGGTTCCTAATAATATAGAGACTTGTTTGATTCCTATTATAATCCATTGTTTTGTTTAATTTTTACTCTTAAAGGACTCACTTCAATATATCTGGACCGCTTAAGCAGGTTTGGATTGTGTACAAAATATCGTAATGTAATATATTTTCAATATTTAACTATATTTGCTTCTGTTTCAATATTTATATTTTTATATCTAAATTTGGATAATGTGTTCCCTATACATTATGGACGATCTCAATTCCTGAGGTGAGGACTTGCCATCTGTGTCATATATTGATCATGCATTCAAGAAGAATGCGTTTTGGGTAAAACGTAATAGACCATTATAGGCATACATTTTCATTTACCAAATATGGCATCTTGAAGCTATTGATTAGTATTTACTGTAATTGCATGTTTTCATTGGCACACTGACGTCATAACATCGAGTTAAAGAGTAATAATCCTATCCTCTTATTTTCCGACTCACGTGGGTGCGTAATACAGATTAACCATTTCGCTAAGGGTTTGGTTACCGTTTTATATTTGTTTTTATATTTTTCATATTTTTTAAAATTTTCTTTTCGATGACACTTATATATATATATATATATATATATATATATATATATATATATATATATATATATATATATATATATATATATATATATATATATATATAATGCACAACTCTATTCATACCATTAAAGAAAATTTCCGAAAAGGTAATTGATTTGAGTAAGTGTTATTCACATTAGATTTTATAAACCAGTTAAATATATCTCATATGATTTGGACAATTTTAATGTAATCGCTCAAACTTTTAATATTGAGCCAATGTTATTGTATCGCGGCATTAGTAGCAGAGGGTGTGAAAAAAAACACAATTTTAGACGGCAATAAAGCTTACTGCACCGGGTGAAAAAAATACCAGCGGTCAATAACACTAAATCAGGGATGGTAGACAGACCGAAATTTGAGACCGACATAAATTCCTACGACTGGTAAAAAAAAATACATGTGTCACCGAGACTTCTAATCGGTTTCTGTTTTTGTGCGTCAAAAATACATACCTGGGGAGACACCTCCATGACAGACTCAAGAGTGTTAAAAAAGTAATTGATCTCTGAGCCAAAAATGTGATCGAGATCTACACGATATCGCGACCAAGTATCATAAAAATTTACCTTAAGGAATCGTTTTGAGCTCGCGTGAAATTTGTGAATTTAGTCATATCCGTGTCCTCTGAAAACCAAGTCTGGTGAACGTTTTGTAGAGCATGTAAATCGACTTCATTAAAGAAAATACGAAGACTGCATTTATGTCTGGTCATATTGTATATATATATATATATATATATATATATATATATATATATATATATATATATATATATATATATATATATAAAGACTTGTTGCGAATACTGAAAAATGTTTATAATTCCCTAAATGTTTTTAGGAAACTTTTAGGGAATTATAAAACATTTTTCATTAGTCGCAACATGTCTGTACAGGCTGGTTGAGACAATGTATTTACAGGTTTAACTCATATGGTGAAAGCCATATAGAGGTTTACAAACGCAACGTTTTTGCGTTTATTTGTTTATTTTATATACGTTTTGTATTTGCCTTTGAAAAAGACTCATTAAGAGTCGAAAGCGCTCAATATATATATATATATATATATATATATATATATATATGTATATATATATATATATATATATATATATATATATATATATATATATATATATATATATAATATAATATCGGTGTTTTTTTCTGTCTGCGTCGAGAAAATATTTGACCTGGATATATTGTTTGTCCAGTGTCACATCATTGTATTCTGCAAGATTATCAACACTTCAATTGATATCATGTACAGATGGAGCATCATCAATGTTGGTCAATATCATTTCCATCATCGTACAACAATTTAGCTTTTTCACTAAAATCTTTTAGCACGTTGTAGCATAGTTGATCATCGACTTATGGTGCCATTAAATACATCTTATCTCATTTGAGCCATATCATTATCAGGTTAAGCAACAATTGTTTCTTACCAGACCCAAATGGACCTATGAGTATTGCTCTAATGCTCTAATAGAACTCAGTAGCTTTGGATGATATTTGACTGGTTTATACTTTCATGTAGGTGACGAATCAATGGTATCAATGTTGTACAAATATAATAAGCAATGTGAATTTATATTACAGAGCTACCCACCCCATCAGGGGATTAATAACAATAACGACGAAGAACAAAAAGACAAGTGTATAAAGTGGTGTACAAAAATACAAATTTATCTCAAATAAAACAGATAGAGATATTATTGCTTCACTGGAGGAAATTACCAGAAGCTCTATGGCTAAGAATCCCGGCGAAAAGCATCTTCATCGATATAATTATTATCATCTTGGAACCCAACTTGATATCCGATTTGACTAAAAATATCAACCATGACCTCGAGAGTATTTAATAAATGTATTTGATCAAGCAAGCCTCGTTCATGATATGTCACAGAAACACTTGCTAGCGTACAAAACTAAAGATTTACAACAGCAAAATATCGCGGAAAATTGATCCACTAGTTAAATTACATAAAAGTAAATCTGTCACAGAAACACTTGCTATATTCTGCAATGAAACGAAAACTAGTGATAGTGTCCGGTAATTAATCAACAAATTATTAATATTGTGATGGGATCAAATTATTATAGACCAAGATGATATTGTAGAGGTAGTTAACCGATAAGTAAGTTTGTTGATGCGGTAGGTGTCGCACGTTATATTAATGCAAATTGAATAACACGACAGACAATATCCCAGATTTATTTTCTACCACATACAAATTCAGTATGCAACATTTGATGTTAGCGCTGTTAATGAAGTTCATTGTGCAGACACTTTGTTTTTACCACATGGTACTATTACAGCCGGTAGACCGTCAATCCCGCACATACAAATACGCGTTGACTATCGTTGATGTTTTAAGTAAATATAAGAAAGAAGAACGCTATCAACTAAAACAGAAGCTGAAGTTTCCTCTGCGTTTGCACGAATTAACATATGACTACCCTTGCAATGGCTACAATTGCTACAACTTGATCCTGGCAAAGAATTTCTTGGTGCAGTAACGTCGCTTATGAAACAACATAACATAAAAATCAGACGAGGGCGCATCTCAATTTATCGCGATACGGGAATAATTGAAAGATTTAATCAAAAACTTGCTGAGCTATTATTTATATATCAATTTGCAAAGGAAATATCCCTAAACAAAGTTCAGAAAGACATGAGACAACCAAGTGTGATAGTTGCCTTAAATAATGAAATTACTCGCGGAATTTCTATGAAATCTACCAGTGAAATCACAAAAAATAGCAATAGATCGAAATGACTCTTTCTAAAAAAAACCACCAGTAGTAGGTAATGTGACTGTCAGATATTTATATGAACCTGTCGAATTGGAAAGTGGTTAAAAAGAGTCTGGAGTGTAACCACACATACGATTTACAGCGTGGTACGATCCATGGGTAGACCTGCAATTTAAAGACTAGATTCATCTACACATTAGCGTGGATTTGCACGTGAACAATTACAAGTAATTACTGAAGATGCACAATTGCCACTTGCTTCACGTTTTGAAAGCAATGCATCAGCTCCCTGAAAACCCTCCGCAGCTCGGATATTCTTCTGACTCGAGACATTTCCAGATAAACTAAATTTGACCATTCAATAAAATCATATTCACTCCAAATATTTGTATCGGAAATAATGAATGGTTAAAGCATATCCTGGCATACACGGAGATTTATCTGTTCTTAGCGGTCTCGCAACAATATCAATAGGACCCAAAACAATATCATTTAGGACACGATCTTGTTTGTCATTAATTTCAGGAATTTTCATCATCATTATTCTTTCGTCGCGTATCTACTGGACTATAAAACAATGTTACAGGTAGATTTGAAAATGTTTCTTTATGCAATATAAAAAACTTTTGTTGAAGTGTATAGCGAACTATCTTTATACTGGCAACTATCAAATCAACAGATCAACAGGACTTCATAAATGTTAAAACTCATTCATATAAGTTTCTGGAATTATAACATACATTATTTCACGCTTTATTTGATCTGGGAGAAGTACGATCATTTGTTTTTAACTCCCTTTATTCTGAATCAAGCGCTCAGTAATCATGAGTTATGTCCTCATAATAATCTATAAACGTTTCTAACCATTTATGCGGAGATAATTGAACAAAAGGTGGCGGTTGACCATGATCTTCACTCATGATCACATCGGTGTTCCGAATCAATAACCAATTAAGAAACTTTCAAAATGCATCCTAAGACACTGTTAATATTTCATCACAAATAATGATCTTAGGGATGTATTTTCGCCCATTCGTTCAGGAATCTAAACATATCTTTTCCATCTAAAGAAACTGTAATAAGTTTGAAA